TAACTTCAGCAACCTTGCTCCAGGGCCTGCCACACTTAACAATGAGATTATGTTATATAAAAACTAGTATGTCCTGTTCAAAAAGAAAAAAACAGAAGTATACCCTAAAACTTAAATAGTATAGTCCTCTCTATAATAGGTTCCCAAATCAATTTTCAATATTTAAAACTTTAACAAGGAATACATATGAGAAAAACAATTACAAAGGCTAAGAAGTCTGTAGTCCCCTTCCCTGGAGGATATCATGTTAACAATTTTGTCTATTATCTTTCAAGAAATTCTTTATACACAGAGAAATATTGAACAGCTTAAAAATAAAACAATCTCAACTACAATTAGAAGCATGTTATGACTACCATTCTAATTTTTGCTTTTTAAAAATTACAACCTGGAATGGACATTTTTCCATGTCGGCACACAAAGCTCTCATTCAACGCAATTCATTTAAACAGTTTACAGTGGATTGGTATGTGAGTGGTTTCTAAAATTTTGCTATTATAAAGCAACGAATACCCTCCCCTTCCATAAGTGTCGTTGCAACCATGAACAAGTATGTTTGTATGTTATGTTAAATTCCTGGAAATAAAACTGCTTAATCAAAGAGATTATATTCAAATTTTTTGCATATACTACCAAATTATCCTCCAAAGAGAATGCAACCATTAGTATTCTTACCACTAGTGTATAAGTACTTATTTTACAACCTTTTATATCTACTGTAAACAGCCAAGCCAATAAGTGAAACATGATGCAACACTATTATATCACATTAAATAAGGTTATTGGGAATCTATCTGTGAGAGAGAATTTTTTTTGTTGTTGTTGGTACTGGGAATCGAACTTGGGTCCTTGGTGCTTGTGAGGCAGGCGGTGGAACCACTGAGCCAAATCCTCGGCCCAGCGAGAGAGAAATTTTAAAAAATCTATATAAGATACTTTACTTTCATAAAAATTGTGAAATATGCGATTTTCAAACAATTATTAAATACCAGGTCATGTCCCCTTGAGAAATCATAGCAATTATACACATAATTTTTTGATGTGAATAGTAAAAAAAAAGAATCATGCTTGCACACACATTACTGCTGCTGCCCTTGTCTTTGAGTCTCAACACTGTTATCTTCTGAGCACCCAGTGGGAGATAAATAAGAATAGACAGCTGGCTTTAACCATATTTATCCTCCCCTTCAACACACACAAAGATCAAACAAAGCAAAGCAGGGTTCTGAGGTAAGAGAACATAATGCGAACCACTAAATGCATAAATTACAAACAGTAAAAAACCCAAACTATATAATAAGGGTAGTATATATTAGGTAAAACAAATTCTCATATTCTCTTGAATTAAAACAGAAGAGAACAAAAAATGTCCTCTTTTCAGTTAATTCACATGAAAATTTAATTAGGATTATGTCTTATTTAATGATGATGCCACCATGCTCATCTTAGACATAAAACACTTCTACCCACAAATAACTGTGTTTTCCTATAGAAATAACCTCCGCCATATACACTACATTGGATTGATGCAGTGCTTCACAACTATAAACATTTTTTTTTACACTTCTTAACTGATCCCTATGAGCTGGTCTTAAAGCTAGCTTTTCATCTTTCTCAGCTATTACTCTCCCCCTTTCACTCTAGGTGAATTTGTCACCGTTCTCTTTCATTACCCACTTCTTCCTCCTAACCTGTCCCTCACCCTGGGCAAACTGAATCTCTAAGCTTACGTTTCCTTCTCTGGGAATATTCGTCAGTACTGTCTACAATAAATACCATTTTCTCCACAGTTTTCACTGATGTTCTCATCTCAAAGTAGTCAGTTGTTTCTTTGAGTTGCTTAGAACATTTTACAGTTTCTGTCTTGTACTATATTATTGCTTAATATATGCCTTAATCAATCTGGAATAATACACTTCATAAGGAAAGGAATTTTCCTTTCAATCTTAAGACTCATGAGTATTATGGTTTAGATCTAAAATGTTCCCCCAAAGTCTAATATGTTCAGAGGCAAGGTTTCAGAAGGTGACTGAATCAAGCAGCATGAGTTCCTGTGCTGCTGGAAAGTGGGGACTGACTGAATGTGGAGTCAGTCACTGGGGCATGACCTGAAAAGATATATTCTTGTCCAGAGCGCCTCCCTTATCTTTTCTGCTTCCTAATTGCCATGGGCTGAGCAGCTTTCCTCAGTCATCCCTTTTACTGTGCCATTTCTATCTTTGAGCCTGCCATGGATTGAAACCCCTGAAAGCATACGCCAAATAATTCTCTTTTCCTTTAAGATGTGAGTATTGAGTATTTTGTCCCAGTGATGGGAAAGTAACTAATATAGCTATCAAGCATAATCATAAAACATATAAAATATATTTGTTGAGTAAATAAAATTCTAAAACAATACTGTAAATTTAAAGCATTAATCTCATTTAGCAGATGAGGATTAGAAAAGTGACGTAATGTTCCTAAAGCCAAAACAACCAACAGCTGAATTGGAATTCAGGCAAGCCTTCAGTTGTTTCCATAATCTAGATCTAGGTTTTTACTGTCGTATTTCCATGTTCTACATAAGCAGATTGCATTCACCCTAAAAAAATAACTAAGTTAAATATGATAATAAATTAAATCAATATTAAAGTATAACCTTAGGAGAAATAATACTTATTAATTTTTTGTAACTGGTAGAAAGGAGAACTTTAATAATATAAATAAATCATTCTGTTAATAGGTAAAATACATATGCTCTCTGAAAGCCTTTATAACTTGGGTTATAATTTCATAATGTACAACTGTACAACAGTCTTAAGCATATTTATAAGGTATAATGAGTTTTACAAATTCTTTCTCAAATGTCTGCTTGGACCATGTCAGGAATCTGAAATGCAAAAATGAAAAATCTATAGTCTCTACAATCAAAACAGTGTGACAGTGATATAAATCTTTCTTGTTCGTGCATTATTATGACTACTAAAAGTTCAAAACAGAAGTCACGGAGTAGATTTAATTTTCTATTATTAATCTTCAGTTATCATAAGCATAATTATACAGACTCTTGAGGTACACCATGTTAATATGACCTTAAAGAGTCTTTGCTCAGGCACAGTGGCACATGCCTGTAATCCCAGCACTTAGGAGGCTGAGGCAAGAGGACTGCCATGAATTCAAGGTCAGCCTGAGCTCCACAGTGAGTTCTAGGCATGTGTGAACTACTCAGCAAGATCCCATCTCAACAAAAACCAAAAAAAAAGTCTTTGAAGGCAGGAACCTGAGATTTTTGTGTCTGGTTTTTTACTGTTTGTGTGCTTTCTGTTTATCAGTTAACTAATTTCACCACTCTCCTCCTCTGTCATTCAAATTTCCCCAATATTTTTTGAGCCCCTACTGTACGCCATGTAGTATTCTAGTGCTTGAGCAACACTGTTGAACAGGAAAGACAAAAGCATTTCAGTAAGAAAACAGACATAAATGTGTAATATAAAATCATATGATTTTAAGCACTCTGCAGAAAACTAAAATAAACTAAATGGACAGAAACATATAGAACACAATATTTTAAGGCAGGGTGATTAGGGAAAGTCTTACTGTGGAGGTAGCACTTCAATAGAGACCTATACGAAGTGAAAGAGAAAGCCATATAGATACCTTGGGAAAGAGCCCTTTAGGCAACAACAGCAAAGGATCTTAGATAAGAATGAGTTTGATGAGTTCAGAGAGTAGTAGTAATACAAATTTGGTTGAAAAGAGTGAAACTCAAAGAGTGGGTGGGGGAAGTCAACAGATATCAAGTCAGAAAAGTCCATGGGGACAAGATCCTGTGAGGCCTTGTAGGCTACAGTAAAGTATCTGAATTTTATTATGAGAAGCCATGAATGGATTTTAAATAGAAAAGTAACATGACGTACTTTTCATCAAGAAACAAAACAAAACAATACTGCTGGTTGTAAGGAAACAACAGTAGATACAGCAAAACATGTTCAGAAGGCTGTCGTGATATATTAAACAAGAAATAGCTGCTTAAGACAAGGATGTTAACAGTGGATATGGTGAGAATCCATCAGATTTAGAAAATATTTTGAAGACTGAGCAACACAATTTTCTGATAAGATTTAACATTACAGTATGAAGGAAAACAAGCTAAATGTTTTTGGCTTGAGAAACTGGATACTAGATAATGTCATATGCAAAAGAAAGCATATTTAGAGTAAAGAAATCAAAGACAGGAAGGTAGAGCACTTGCCTAGGAACAAAGACCTAGGTTTGGTTCCCGGCAATGTCCAAACCAAACCAAACCAAAATGAAAAACACCCCAAAAAAGCCAAAACAGTGTCTCTGTAAATTTAAGATATCTAATAGAAATCCAAGTAGCCAATCAGATATTAGAGAAGAAAGAATATACATTAGAGTCATAAACATATATATGTATATATAAGCTTTATAGCTATAAACTTGAATAAAGCTGTCTAAATAGGAAATAAAGGTAGACAGTGAAGAAAGCATCTCACTATCATTCCATTTCTTGATGTTGGAAGTGCAGCTGCTACTATCAATCCTCCCTCTTTCTAATTTGTTTTTTCTGTGGAACCAGGGATTGAACTTAGGTTCTTGCACTTGTGAGGCAGGTGCAGTGCCACTGAACTAAATCCTTGGTCCCTCTCTAATTTTTAATGTCTACAGACATTATTTTAGTGAATAAAGTTTGTAACACAAAAATTTATCTTCATCTATGTTCAAAAGAACTGAACTTCTTGATAAATGAACAGTAAGTTGCACTAAAAACTAGAAAACTATGGAGAGTAAGAGGTCGATATTTTAAATACCCCAGAGAAAAACAAATGACAAAAAAAAAACCCAAAAAACAAAAACATAACATTTATAAGAACAAAAACAGCCCTAATTAAACTTTATAGTAACTTTGATAGATACATGCTTGATTTTTTTACAGGGGGTCTGCATATGAATTATACATATTAGTAAGGATATATTAATTCAAAATTTAAACTACTTACCTGCAAGCACAAGGGTAATATTTAGTACAATGAATATTCCGCAAAATAGGCCAACTCTAAAAGTAGTCCATGCTGGTGCAGGCTGTGGACAGAATAGCAGCGTTTTGAATAAGGGATAAAACATCAAATGTGTTTAGTAGTATAAGCCTCAAAATTCTCCAATAAAAATAGTATTTATAATCTTAATTTTTACAAAACTGAAAACCAAATTATCTGTCTTTTTTTTTTTTTTTCCTTTAGTACTGGGGATCGAACTTGGGCCCTTGCACTTGCAAGGCAGCAGCAGAACCACTGAGTCAAAACCCTGGCCCATTAATTTTTATCAACCTGAAACAGAGAACCATGCATTCTACATCATCTTGTAATCTCTAAAATAGAATTGTCAGTTGAATTCTTTTAAAAAAGTGTCATGAAATAAGATTATAATATTAGGCATAAAATTATTTTATATACATACTAAGGTTTTATTATGGGAGAGATTTAAGATAAAATTTCATTTTTACAGTGCATACAGTATTATCCAATTAGAGTTACATATTTGGTACTAGGAATAATTAGCAACAATGACAAAAATAAGACATTTTCCAATAGTACTTATGCTTCTATCCTATTGTGAATTCTTCAAGAGCCTCAATAAACTGGTATATCAGAATTTTCAGAGTGCATAAGTTCAAGCAATTTTTTCTTTTTTTATAAATTTTACATTTATAAAATGAAGTGCCTTAGATTTTACATGTAGAGATGAGAAACATGGAAAGAAAGAATCTTATGAACCATTTTAGTGCTGTTAGAGGTAATATTATACTTCTAATGTTTTATGAAAAACTTCAAGTTGCTTCCTAAAAAAAGCACTGAAACTCTGACTTACTACTTAGCAGTAAAAGATTTCTGTATTGTTAGTTTAAGAATGAAATCCAGGTGGAAGATGGGCTTTTAGTTTCAAAAATTTTACAGTTTATCTTATATACAAAAATGCATATAATGTATTTAAATTGTTAGAAATAACTAGTGACATGAACCTAGACAGTATCATCTACCTTTTGAAGCACTAACTGAAATCTCTGACCCTACCTGATCAAAAGATCTTTCCTCTTCATGGGTACCATTTCCATGTTTTCTTTAGTTTACCACTTCTAAAGGCATTCCTAAAATAGCTTAATTTTTTAAAAAATTATTTTTCTCAACAGTTTTATTCAAATATAAATGGCATATAATAAATTATAGATATTTAAAATATTCAGTATTTCTTTTCTCTCCAAATGCTTTTAAGATTGTTCTCTTTATCCTTTGTTTTCAAGCAATTTAACATGATTTGACTCTGTGTTCTTACCATTTTTTTAAATAAACTGACATATATTAAACTGTACATACTGGATTTAAAGTGTACAATGGTACACTTTATGGTAAGTTTTAACATATAAAAATACCTGTGAAACCATCACCATGATCAAGATAATGGACCAAGAGTCTCCTCATGTTCCCCAGGCCCCTTTGCAATTCGATTCTCCCAGCCCATCCTGGAGATAATCACTGATTTGTCACTATGTACTTATTTGCACTTTTCACAGTCTTGAGTAAATAGAATCATACAGTATGTGCTGTACTCTGTTCTTTTGTGGTCTTCTTTTTCTCAGAATAATTACTCTGAGATTAACTCATATTGTTACACGCATCAATAGATTATTCCTTTTTATTGCTGAGTAGTATTCCATTGGGCAGATATTCCACAAACTGTTCATTTGTTTACTTACTGATGGACATCTCGTGCTCACTTTGGCAGCACATATACTGAGCGACATCTTGGGCTCTTTTCCGTTTTAGGCTATTATGAATAAAGTCACTGTGAATATTTTTGTGTACAAGTCTTTATATGTACATAAGCTTGTATTTGTCTTGGGTAAAATACCTAGGTGTGTAATGACTAGATTCTGTGGCAGGTATATGCATAACTTAAAGAGCTTTCCAAGGTGGTTACCAGTAGCATACAAGGTTTGAGCATTCCTGTTCCTCCACTATTTAGTGTATAATCAGTCTGTTAAGTTTAGTAATTCTGATAGGTATTATATCTCACTAGGTTTGAGTTGGCATTCTTCCACGGCCTAATAATATTGAGCATTGTCCCATGTGTTAATTTTGCATCTGTGCATGTTTGATGACATATCCTTTCAGGTCTTGTCAATTTTTGTTTATTTCTTTCAGTATTGGTGACTGAACCAGAGATATTCTACCACTGAGCTACATACCCAGCCCTTTTTAATTTGGAGACATAGTCTTGCTAAATTGCTGGCCTCAAAGTTGCAACATTTCAGTCTCCTGAGTAGCTGGGATTACAGGTCTGTGCCATGGTGTACTTTGCCCATTTTAAAAAGTTTTCTCCTTAGTAAGTACTGGAGTTCTTTATATAGTTTGAATACAAATCCTTTGTTATATATCTTTGTAAATATTTTTTCCTAATCTGATTCTTTGCTTTTCATTCTTTAAGTGTTTTTGAAGAGCAGAAACTTTTAATTTGATGTACTGATTCTGGTATCTTGACTAACAAATCTCGAGTACTCCAAAGTCACTAGGACTTTCTCCTATATTTTCTTCTAGAAATCTGGAATTTCAGGTTTCATTTAGGTCAGGTGGTACATTAGAAAAACACGGTATGAAATAAAAATAATATTTCAATTATTATAGCATATGGAATCCAATTTTTCCATCATTATTGAATGCATTATTTTCCACTGATCTGCTTTGTATGTGTATTGAAAATTAATTGTTCATATACAAATTAATACTTTTAGACTATTTTCTTCCACTGAAGTATCTGCCCATTGTTGTACTGATACTACACTGTCATGATTACTGCAGCTTTAACAAGTTCTGATATTAGATAATATTAATTTTTAAATTTAGTTGTTTCAAAGTTGTGCTGGCTATTCTAGGTCCTTTGCATTTCCACAAAAATTTTAAAGTTAGCTTACAGTTTTCAACATAAAGGTCTTTCACAACTTTGTCAGAATTGTTCCTAAACATTTCATAATCTGAAAGTATTATAAACAAGACTATTTGATTTTTTTTTTGTTTTGCTTTGAGACAGAATCCTGCTATGTAGTTCAGGCTGTCCTTGAACTTACTATATAGCCCAGGGTGGCCTTGAACTTATGGCAATTCTCCTGCCTCAGCCTCCCAAATGCTGGGATTACAGGCATGTACCACTACGCCCAGCAGAAAAGTGTTTGATTTGTAATTTTTTCCTCCTGATAACACAGATGTACAATTAACTTCTGTACACTGATACTGAATCGTCCAACTCTGCCAGACTCCCTTACTGGTTCTAGAAGCTAATATATAGATTTACTGTATTTTCTACATGTACCATCAAGTCACTGGCAAAAAATAAAAAATAAAAGCAACCCACAAAACTTCACCAGTTTTACTTTTCCTTTTTAATCTGAATGCTTTTTATTTCTTTTTCTTACCTTGTCATATTGGCTATTATAATTTGTACAATAAAAGTAGAGTAAATATGTTTTTATATTCCTAGTCTTAGGAAAAAAGCAGTACGTTTTACCATTAACTATGATATTAACTGTAGGTTTTCATAGATACCATTTATTAGAATGTGAAAATTGTTTCTTGTATTAATTTTAATTCCATGAGATCATAGAAAATACTTTGTATGACTTAAATACTTTTAAATTTATTAAGGCTTATTATTATTTATTAAGGACACAAATATACTCTTAATTTTTTGGGGGTGTATTTAATAAATACATTTTTGGTATAATAGCATCGTTCTGTATTAAGCTATGCAGTACACCAACACTTTATAATTCATTATGAAGTTAAAACATCTACTTTTTAAAAAACTAGAATAACACAGCATCTACTTATAAACTTTGGCTGAAAAATTTTTAAGTTAGCATAGCCAACAAACAACCAGGCTGTGTTGATTAAGCAAACAAACAAGTGGAAACAAATACTAACCTGAGCAGCTCCTAAAGGGGGGACACGTAAACGCTTCATAGCCTTTTGTCTGTCACCATCTTCAAGTTCATTTGTTACTACAGCCTAGAAAGACAAGTTATTAGATTTTGACAAAAATTATTCTAAACTTAAATGATATGTAAATAATTCTGTATCACTATATGTATGCATAATATATAGCATGTAATATATATGTATTGTTATATATTATTATATGTTATATTCTGTAACCTCTTGGTAATACAACAGAAGAAAAAAAATCATGAATAAAAGTAGATGTATTCAAAGCTAGTAACTATTTACAAAAATAGAATGGAAATGTGGAATTGTTTCTTCAAAATAAGACATGAACATTATTAAAAGTATGCGGTAAATGAATAAGGTTACTGTACCTCAGTTTCAGAGATGAGCTGGTTGATTTTCTTGCATGTATAAAATGGGGCCACTTCTACATGAGCAACTCGCCAATCTGCTCCACGAGATGTTTCCAGGATCTTGTCATGCTTTTTAAGGATTTTTCGAAACCCTGTAAAATTCAGATTCTATGGAAAGAAATGAGAAATTCAAGTATAATTTTTACCATTATCAAAGAAAATGAGAAATAATCAGCACTAAATATTGACAGAGCTGATTGGACAAAGAATGGTACCAAGGGAAATGGCAATGTTTTCATAAAAGCATTCATACTAAGAGTTCAAGACTCTTCTGTCTTACTTCATTTATTCTTTTCAAGGTAGTGTGTTATTAATAACACAAGGAGACCCTGATCTGTAAGACAGAGGTCTCCCAAATTTGTTCATCATATAGTTCCACTAATAAAACACTGAGCACTCACTCTGAAATAAGCTTTTCTTGCTTATTTGTTTACAAATTTTTCCTCACACTGTAATGTATGATCTTAAACTCTCCTTCAGGTACATATACCATGACTATAGTGCTTTCAGTTTTCATTTTTCCCTCAACCTCAAATGTATTCTTTTTTTTCTCATTTATGTGAAATTTACTAAGCTAATGTTGGAAATGCCATAGACAAAATTCATCCTTGACAAAATAACAAAATATATGTATTCTTATAAAGGTCCCTAGATAATAGCAGATAGAGCAGAAATTTTATAATTAACAATTTTTTGTTTCCCAGGAAGCTTTTTAGAGCTTTTTATAATGACCCCAAAGCTGCTAAGTTTACAGAATGTAACAAGGGTATTTCCTTGTAACATAAAAGCATAATTAGTAAACTGTAAAATGTAAATGTTTTTAAAACATTACAGATGTGCGCTGTTTTTAAAAATTAAATTATAAAATGTGAATTTAAAATAAAAATTAAATTATAAAGCTATGGATAAGCCTAGCACAACAGTGCACATCTGTAATCTAAGCAAGGTGAGAGGCTTAGGCAGGATTACAAATTTGAGCCTGACTGGGAAACTTAGACCTTGTCTCAAAATAAAAAATAAATGTAGCTCAGTGCAAAGGCCCTGGGTTCAATCCTCAGCACCAAAAGGGGAAAACAAAGCAATGAATAAAATTTAAAAGAAAAGGAATTTATCATTACAGATATCTTGTATCATTCCTTTTCTATTAAATTGTTTCCTACTTGAGTTCTTTGATAAAACATTAAATCACTGAAGAAAGCAGAATTATGAAAGGGAAATAAGTACATTCATTAACAACCTAGATTGATATAGATACAGGACTTTAATTACTTTTTATTTTAAAATTCTAACATAGCCCTGGGTAATACTTTTGTTGCATGATTTTTGGTGGTCCTAAACACACAGAAGTGAAAATCACAAGGATAAAACAGAAAGTAAACAATAACTAGATCTCTCTAAAGAGCAGAAATGACTATTTAAATATTGATTATATTGAATATTCATTTTGAGATTGGGTCTTGCTATTTCACTCAGGCTGGGCTCAAACTTGTGATCCTGCCTCAGCATTGCAGAGTGCTGAGATTATATCTATGCATTACTATACCTAGCTAAATATTCATTTTTCAATTAAATTCTCTAGAATTTAATTATGTAGACACACATAAAGAATTAAAAATGAATGAATGCTCCATATTTCTGTATTCAGTAAACATGGAAGTTCATGTTTTCACAGCAAGTTTTTAAAATACTGAGTGATATAATATTCTAGATTTTCAGTTTCAACACACATCTGGTGTGACCTAATTTCTTTCTTCAGAATTTTTTTTTATATGACTATATTGCAGTCTGGGGACAATTAAGTTGAAAGGATTCTTTTAGTTGCAAGCTGAAAAGTCAAGATCTTTTATTTTACTGGTATTAGCTGCAGAAATGTTAATTGTCCAATTGCTGTTCTTTTGTTTTATTAATGTCTGTAGCAGGAACATTAAGTGTTCAATTGCTTTTGTGGAATTTTGCTAGTGGTTAGGAAGAATATAAAAAAGCTCTTCTATATCCAACAATAGGGTAGCACATATTAGTTTTTTTTTTTTTTACTTACCACTCCCAGAGCTGCCTTTAAAGACAGGAAGCAAACTTTTAGTCTTAGAGTCAAGGGATACCCCTAAATATTATACAAAAGGCGTTAGAAAACTAATCTTCAAAAATAAAATTTTGCTAATATTGTTTTACTACTTCTAATACATTGCCAATAAGGACAACAAAAACCTCAAGAATAAAGATAGTTAATGACTTTCCTTTTTGGATTGACTAATTAGGATAGCTCAAGGTAATTCTATTTATTGGAATTTTTCATTTACTTAAAAGTGCTTTCTCCAGGGTGAGAATCTAAGTACCTGGTAGTTCTGCAGCAGAATAAGACTGAGGTAGAACTCGCTGAAGGCCAGTTTAAGGTCTTTAATATTCCTATGTTGGACACGTTCTTCGTGGGACAGGTGGAAGACTGGCTTTCTGCGTTGTCGCAGCGTAGTAACACCAGTGCTTTCTTTCTGTGCATCCAGTGATGACTGAAGCTCATTCTGAAGAGTAGCAAACCTGCGCTGAGCCTCTGCGAGCTTCTCTATAAGAGAAAAGCAGGACTGTTGAGTCAGTAAGGTAAAGAGAAGCTGGAAGCTGGACTTTTGAGTTTTTACTAATTAACCTAATTTGCTTCCCTAGGTTTTCTAGGAACAAAATATTGCATGTAGTACTTAGAATTAGATAGAAAAAATATTCTGACCAACATTTCCATTTCCTTCTATCTCATCCTTTCCTCCCTACAAAACTGTTATTGTACTTTTTTAATAGATCAAAAAATAAAATGTAAAAAATTACTAAAAGTGAAAATATAAAGTGGTATAGTACTCTGAAATTTGGAAAACAGTTTGGCAGTTCTCAAAAGGTTACACAGTTATTATGATTCAGCAAATCCACTTCTAGGTATATGTCTAAGAGAACTAAAATCATATTCACACAAAATCTTATACACATATGAAGTATTTATTCACAGGGCCAGGGATTTAGCCCAGTGGTTCCGCTGCCTGCCTCACAAGTACAAGGTCCCAAGTTTGATCCCTGGTACCAAAAAACACCCCCCAAAAAAACCAAAAATAAAGTATTTATTCACAATATCCAAAAGGTGAAAATAACTGAAGTGTTCACCAACTGAACAGATAAACAAAATGTAGTATGTGCACACACACATAAGATATGAGCCTTGCAAAAGCCGATATACTAGTTAATGCTACAGTATGAATGAGCCATAACAATGTGTGAAGGAAAATAAGCCAGATATAATATACCGTTTTGTATGATTTCATTTATATGAAATATCCATAATAGAGAAATCCATAGAGATAGAAAGTAAATTAGAGGTTTTCGGTGGCTCTGAGAAGTGGAATGGAGAGTAACTGCTAATGGATATGGGGTATTTGGGGGAATGAAGAAAATACTTTGCAAGTAGAAAGTGAAGATGATCGTAAAACCTCATGAATATGTTTCCAAACACTAAATTATATACTTTTAAAGAGTGAATCTTAGAGGGTCTTCTTGGCCACACCCTCTCCTGCGGGCTGTATTCCCACTATCTTCAGCTACAGAAGGTCTTCTCGGCCGCACCCTCTCCTGCAGGCTGCATTCCACCATCTTCAGCGCCAGAGGGTCTTCTCGGAAGGGCCCTTCCTTGCTGGCGCCGCTGCTGCCATCTTCAGTGCCAGAAAGGTAGCCGTGCGGGCACCCCTGAACCCCCCCACAACCTCCCCCCTCGCGTTTTTAGACCTGATTGTACCAGTCTTTGGACCTACTCTGTAGAGGCAGAGGTAGTCATAAAGAGTATTTTCTGGCACTTTCAACTTTGAACATCTTTAAAGAAGTGGTGGGGGAAACTTATAATAGAACTGAGTGGAGTTCAACCCTTTAGGAGGTCGGGGAACTCAGTCTGAGCCTTGCAGCCCAAGCTCAGTCTGCTTTGTGGGGTTCTGCCACAGCTAGCTGAGATCAGGGGACTCGGCTCTGCAAATGGCAGCACATATTCTATATTATGACAGCAGTGATATAGTCTGAAAGAGGCCCTTTAAACTCATTTTTGTTTCTTTCTTTTTCATCCTACTCTGCAAATTCTTTTTGTTTTCTTTCTCTAACTCAGTCTCTTACTCCACTATAGTATCCCTCATCTCCCTTTTTGTTTCTGCTCTTGTCCTAATTCAGATTTCTTCTTTTATTATTTTTTTCTCTTTTCTTTATGTTCTTTTCTTATGTTATTCTACCTCACTCAAGGGTTACTATATTTCTATTTTGTTTGTTCTTTTTGAATTTAACAAATTCCTGATGATTGTCTGGTCATTCTACGTCTTTTGGCTTCATATGAAACATTCTCTAATTCTTATACTTATCTACTCCTCTTGTCTTAACTTTGTTTTAAGCCCCCATTGTAAATGGTAAATATCCTTATTGAAAAGTTTATTTACTGTAAGCATATTTTGGATTGTGTCTTGATTTTAATTAAATTCACATGGTTTGAAGGTGATAGATTGATGACTACCATAAGTGGTCAATTTGCAAATTGTACTTCATTATATTGTGGTGCTGACTGTATCAATTAGGATAAAGGATTGTGATTGATTCAATGAGCTGTTTTCTTCAGTATTATGAAAATGGGAATGTCTATGAGTCATTAGAGACCCACGGGCTGCAGCCCAACTATATCAGGAAGATTTAAGTAATAATCTAAAGGTTAAACTAAGGATAACCCAACAACAATGGTAAAAATGAGAAAACACTTAAGCAAGATACAGGGACAGACTTCCAGTTCACCAATGGCAAATACTGGGGCAAATGAGGATGAAAAGTCTGATAGTGAATCATCAGGACACCCTGAACTCAGAGCACAGGAAGTAACAAAACTGATCAATCAGGCTCTAGAGAAATATAGAACAGAAGTAATTTCCCAGATAATCATAGAGTTGACAAGCAAAATGAAAGTTATAATTCCTGACTCTAGAACAGAAACTGAGAGGAAAATAGATGAGCTCAGGACTATGATAGAAGCCACGAATGCCCGGCATAAGAAAGAATTAGAAACAATAAATGCCCAATACAAGAAAGAAATGGAATCCATAAAACAGATTCAAACAGATATCCAGGAGATTAAAAACTCCATTAAGAGTGTTCACAAAAGAATAAAGGAGTCTGAAGATAGAATCTCAGATATAGAAGATAAAATTGCAGTCAGTGACCGTGAAAAGAGAGGTCTCTTAAAAACAGTAGGGGATCATGAGAAATTGATAACTTTTAGACGATACTAAGAAGAATAACATAAGATTGATAGGAATTCAAGAAGTAGTAGGAGAAAATGTAAATGACTTAAAAAAGCTGTTCAAAGAATTAATTATAGAAAATTTCCCAAACAGAGGGGAAGAATGTGACATACAGATAAGTGAGGCATATAGGACTCCAACTAGCCATGATAAAAAAAAATCTACACCTAGACATATAATAATCAATATCCCAGGAACCCAACAGAAGAACAAAATACTACAAACAATAAGAGACAAGAAACAAATTACATGCAAAGGAAAGCCTATCAGAATCACAGCAGACTCTTCAACACAAACCCTTAGGTTAAGGAGAGCCTGGAATGAGATATTTCAAGTACTAAAAGAAAACAACCTTCAAACTAGACTGATGTATCCTGCAAAACTTTCTTTTAAAATGGATGGGGAAATAGGATATTTCCATGATAAAGAACACCTGAGAAATTTTATGAATACCAAACCAGCACTACAACGAATTCTAAACAATATCCTAGAAAAAGACAATGAAGGTAACAACTCAATGAGGCCCAACAGAGCAAATCAAATAGGCAAGCCAAGAAACTAAAAGGAGAAGGCAAGAAACAAACCAACCAACAAACAAACATGATAATAATAAGTTAGTACATATCGCTTATAACCATCAATATTAACGGCCTCAATTCACCAATTAAGAGAAATAGACCAGCAGAATGGATTAAGAAGCAAGATCCAATGATATGTTGTATACAAGACACGTCTAGTGTAAAAAGAAGCCCATAGACTGAAAGTGAAAGGACAGAAAACATGTAACAGGAGCTCCCCCACCAAAAAAAAAAGCAGATGTAGCAATCTTATTCACAAAGTAAGTTTCAAATTTAAACTGAATGAAAAAGACAAAGAAGTTCACTACATCCTTGTGAAGTGAACAATTCAAGAGGAAGAGATAACAATTTATTGAGTATGTCAGAAAGTATATATTTTTTTTTCTTCCTCTGATGCTGGGGATTAAACTCGGCACATTGTTCTGGCTAGGCAGGCGCAGCACTATTGAGCTAAATCTGAGGCTTTACATTTTATATTTTTAAAATTTATCAATACATTAATCCTTGTCTCTATACGTTGGTCTACCAAATGGATGAGTTATTTTGGTTCTCATTTTCTTTGCTTTTTTATTTGAGAATTTATGAGATCTGTATATATGAGTAGTATGAAAAGTATTAAGGTCCATCTGTTATTTTCCTCTTTCATCTCTGCTTTCTACAAACTTCCTTTTTTGTCACTACAGCTTGTCTGGTTGGAAATTTGTTAAGATAAATGTTGTTATGTTATCAATATATCTTTGTACCTATTTTCTACTGATGACGAATATTAATTTTTAAGTAAATTTTATTATAACTATACTTAATCATTAATATAATTTAGTATCTGGTACATATTACAAATTTTCCAACTCCCTCAAAGATGCTATTTGTTTTTTCTCAAATTATACAAATCACCAACATTCCACATATCACTGCACTGTTTTATTATACCTAAGTATATATTGTATTGCAGAAAATATGTATTGTGTATATGTGTGGGGGGTATGTTTTTACATATATGTGTGCACTATTAAATGAGAAACATGGGCATGAATGTGGTAGGATTGAGCACATTTGGCATATTGATAAGTTTCTCTGGCAACCTTATGATTTCTTTAAATTACATGCTTGACTTAATTCATAGTCATTCATTTGGGAAGAATATTACATATCTATTGGTGTTAAATTCTATCGTTATGCTTATAAAAATATAATAAAAATAAGTATGGGATATAATAAAATAGAAACAGAAAAATCTGATCTTAACAAGGTGAATTTTTTTAGTTGCATTTGGATTTCAACTATAAGTATATTTTTTTCTGTGGGAAGTTATTAGAAAATGTAAGTGGTACAATCCACAAGTACATGATATTTATTAATTAATAAAACCAAGGAGTTTATGAATCATAAAATTTTGAGGACAGTTGCTCAACTATAATATATAACTTTGTTTTATTTATAATTACATTATTTCAAAAATATTATAAGAAAGTGAGAAAGAACATGTTTGAAGATCATATCAAACTAATGTACTTTGATTAGTCTGTGTTACATAAATTCTTGTTTATTTCATATCCTTTTTTTGCTGTCATATATATGTATATTTGAAATTTTTATTTAGTATCTTCATTTCTTGTTATCATGTATCTTTGCAATCTTTAATAAAAAAAAGCAAAAAAAAAAGAGTGAATCTTATGGTATGTAAAAAT